GCAACGTCCTCGGCCTTGGGAGGGTGGTCGCAGACGGCCCGGCTCTCATGTGGCTCCTAGCACTCACGGTAGATACCGCAGAGAACCAGGAGTTGATCTGGCCTCTCTTACTCGAACTTGAGCGTGTCATCAACAAGTTTGCTGATGATGAGAAACTCCAAAAGGACTGGGAGTTTTTGAACTACAGCGGTCTTGATCAGACGCCAATTTCGGACTATGGCGAGGAAACAGTCCACTTCATGAGGAATATTTCGTCGGAATACGACCCAGGCAGAGTTTTCCAGGACCTTCGGAAGACGGGCTTTCGGATCCCTGTTTGAGTCCTAAATGCAATCAACGAGCTTGCTATGGACGAAGTAAGGACGTCCGCTAAATTCAAAAAATGCAAATGTCAAGAAACGAATAATCTCTAGCCTGGATCTTGGGGGGAAACATGATAACTATAGACGATAGACCCGTAGTGCCCGAATAAAGTTCTTTGTGAAATATTGATCTCGCGCCCTCTGCCAAGAGATGCGTACGCAATGGTATCGTCCGATTGACATTAGGGTACTGCGGATACCGTGTTGAGCTTTTAAAGATCTCAAATCTCCACGATGGAGGTGTCTATGTTTCGTGGTTCGTATGCCAGTATTTGGAAGTGCTACTGCCACGGCGAGGAGGACTAGGATATTTTCCCGGGACAATCCGTCATCAAGCCTCGATCACGTTTCGGGGTTAAGTGGTGTACGTGATCGTCAGGCCAAACGTGCCGGGCCTTGAACGTGCACGACAAAAAGCGCGAAGACATCGACTATCAGCGTAGAAGTTGACTGTTGGTATCCCTATTACAGGGTAATTGGTTCGAACCGTGGGTTGACGAAGAGATCAATTGAACTATATTAACTTCTGCGTAGGTGTAAAAAGGAGGTTCTAACCGTAGGTTGGGCAGGCCGCGATAATCGTAAGTAGGGGCCGTAGTTGGCCCCTGCGCGGGCTGCGGTACGTCGAGGTCGAATTGGACTTCCAATCCGACACTGACTTTCTCTTTCTTTTATCGATTTACCTACTGCGGTTGGAGGTGTAATTCGACCTCGGGCCCGTCTGCCAGGTCGTCTCCTTTTCCCCCTTTTCTCTGCTCCTTTCGTGTGACCCATCCTTCCATTCGTACGTTGACTTTTCCGCTGCCCACGAATTGCTCCAACCCCTTGTTGGGTGCTGCTTTCGTGAACGCGTCGGCGAGGTTGTCGTCGCCATTGATCCAACGGATTTCGAGGATCTCGCGTCTTTCGTACGACTGCCTGAGGGCCATGATGTCTATCATGAGCCTCTTTTCCTTCGTAGTCCCCAATTTGACCAGGCATTCGTACAGCGAGTAGGAATCGGTACAGACGACCGTTGGGACTGGTGGAAGGTTGAGTCGATCGGTGATCTTCCTCAGCGTCGTTGAAATCGCGTGGGCGAGGTCAACGCCGTTGACCATGCCGTAGACTTCTGACGCCAGCACACTTCTCGTTACCCGCTTACTTTTGGTTGACGAGTAGTGGATTACATTGCCATGTATTGTGAATTCGCTCTCGCCCATACTCTCGTTGGCGAGAATGATAATATACCCCAATTGCGAGGTGAGGTCCTCGTTGTTCGCAAATGAGCCATCAACGAAGACGTAGAGCTTGCTGGCTGCGAGGTCGATCGGGTAGTAGACGAGACCTCGGTCGAGATTCGATTGCTGCCACTTGAGCCGCTTGTTGAGTGCCTCGACGTCTCGTTCGTCCGGTTCTGTGGCCTGCGCTGCTCTAGCGCAGTCAAAGGTCGCCTCGGGCTGGCATATGCTCGCAATGTATGCCCCTCGCGCGAGCTCAGCCTTGTATCGTTTTTTGACGTCGACTGCGTTCGGATCGACGAGGCTGATCTTCTCGCCCTGCCCCTTTTGCCGGAAGACGACGGTTTCCCCTTCGATCGTGAGAATCCCGCCGTTGAACGCCAGTGGGTTGTTCGTCGTGAGGACCTCTTTTGGCTTCGCTGCGAAGCCCGCTTTCTGGAGCTCCTCATCCTCCTTCTTCATGAAGTTGACATCGGATACGCCCAATGTATCGTCGGTCTGCATTCCGACGATTCCAAATTGGTCGCCTGCGTGCTCAGAGACCAGCAGGCAAGGGTCGTACGTAGATGTGACCATCGACAACTGATTGATGTGAAAATCGTGATATGTGGCCCACCAATGGGTGCCCGATTCTGCGAGCCCATACAGTGGTTTGAGCACTTCGATAATCGTGCCTTCTGGGTACTTGCTGGCCATTTCCTTCGGTAGGTAGGCCAGGATTTTCCTTGTGAGCCCTGTGGCCGATTGAGTGTAGGCCTGAGTAATATCACGGCTCCAAATCTCATACCCCTTTTTCCGCAGCGATGCCATCAGTGCCATCATTAATCGTTGGCTGCAGCGCTGTACTGTGGGCGATTGTGTGAGCAGCGTCGCCTTCTCGACGTCGCCGTACCCCTGAATTACGTGCCTGGATTTCTCGTACGGCTGGGGTGTTCCTTTTCCTTTGATTTCACGAACCATTCGCGATTTGAATATGCGGAGGTTTTCATGTTTCTCTGGGTCGTAGAGGATAAATCGGTAGACCCCTCGATCGCGAAGAGCGTCTGCTTCGATGAGATCTGATCCCTCATACGGCTTTCCAGCGGTTGTGATTACGCCTTCCTTGCGTAGTTTGACTGCCAGCTCGAAATCGGCTTTCTCTTTTGCCGTATAAAAGGTGTTGGTTACCTCGTCGCTGGTGATGAATTGCCGCGTTGGTGCTTGCCGTCGTGGTCTTCCGCGACGTCTCGCCGGTGGTATTGGTGCCCTTTCGGCGATTTCCTCTTCCTCGTCGTCTGTTGGTACTGCTACGACGATTTCGTCGAGGATGATTTCCTGTGCCTCTGCCGCGGGTTGTATAGTTTCCCCTGGCTCTTCTTCCTCTTGTGGGTTGGAAATCACCTCGATGGGATCTATATGATATGGTCTGACTGCCGTAATTGCTACCTCGAGTGGCTGGTCTCGATCTCTCGCGACTACGCAAGAGCGCTCGTCGACGGAAATCAATTTGAACGGCCCAGCCCACTGTTGAGTGATTTCGCGCCATACTCGTACATCCGAATTCAGCGGCATATCCAAATTGACCCCTATGTCGGGCCCATTGCGCGCAGCAATTGCCTCGTTGATTTGCCTTCTTGCGCTCACCTCGCGTAGTGCCCGCATTGCTTTTTCGACTGCTCGGGCTCGTTGGCTTACGTCTGGCGACGGTGGCGAGGCCGAGGTCGTCCTTGGATATGCTCCAAATACCAGAAGCGTCGGTATGAGCCCGTTGGGCCCCATGGTGTCGTTGCAGCATTTGAGTGCCGTCTGGAGGCATTCGTCGTCGTCGGAATCGGGATTTTCCTCTTTGATGATTTTGAACGCTCTTTTCAACTGCTGGTGCGCCCTTTCTACCTTTCCAATGCTGTGGTGCGCTTCGACGGGCACGACTTTCAACTGTATACCGTAGGCCGTCGCATTTTCCTTGAATTCCGCTGACTTAAAACTGGTGCCAGCGTCGGTTCTGATGCCGTCTGGCGGTCCCTGGTATGTGTCGATCCAGCTTTTTCGCAGAGCTGCCCATACTGTTTTTGCTTGCAGATCCCGCAGGAATTGCCCTGCCTGGAATGATGTAGCCTCGTCGATTATATGTAGGACCGGTCGACTGTTCAAGTAGAAGATATCGACGACGATCTCCCAATTGAAGTTGAGCTCATCACGCAATTTGAATTTGAATCTGCGTGGGCTCTGCGCATTCATTTGGCATTGGTGGCACACTTTCGTTAACTGCTCCAGCGCCCCTATTTCGACATCATCATTACCCGATTGCTTCAGGAGGCTGTACAGCCTCGCGACTGACGGGTGGCCAAATCTCCTGTGTAGTCGTCTGAGCTCACTTTCCGTCAGGTAATTAATCGACTTCGTGTCGTTGGTAAGCCTCATGAACGCGTGCCCCCATCGTCGTTCGACTGTCTCGAAGTGCTTGCCACTGGAGATCCTGTTCCTCGTATTGTCGAATATAATGCCCAGTCGATCCATGTCTTTCAGACATAGGAGAAATGGTGTATTGACGGGCAAAATGTGGAAAGTCATCGTTCCGAAGTGCGTCTGTACTTCCACCGTACCCAGGGCGACGATTTCCTCGCCTGGGCCGAAGCTGATTCTCGCACTGCCCGCCGTCGACGTATTGAGCGTTACTGGCGCGATTTTCTGCAGCGCCTGGAATTGCCCTTTTCCTCCTGTTGACCATTGCGATGCCCCAGTGTCTGGGATAATCCCATGGAAATTGTCTGGGCCGTACCTTTCGCTCGCGTGGAATGCCTGTACGAGCTCAGCATTCGAGTGATCTGGGTGGTATAAAAAGGACCCCTCTGGCTGCCCCTGGAATTGCTCGGCACCATGTTTCTTCTCTTCAGATGTCAAGAGAGGCACCAATTTCTCCTCGGGTGTCAAGAGAATGGAATTCTGCGCTGTTGGATTCGTCCTTTCGTCCACCTCCGTATCCGTCGTCTGAGGGACTTTCCCTTGCCATCCGTGGATGAAAGCCTGCTCATTAAGAGCTTCCACTGCCTTTTGTTCGTTCAGCCTCGTATATCCTCCCGAGGCTGACGGTGCGAAGAAAGAGTGGTTGATATCGTCGACTTCGTCGTAATCCAATTCGTCGGTATAGGGGGTGAGATCTTCCTCATCTTCCGAGTCTCCCATGGGGTGCGGATGCTTCAGGCCGCCAAATTGGCTGCCTTCGCTGGGTTCCGTGCCCCCGGATCTGCCCTCATATATGACGAGGAATTGGTTAAATCGATGAGGGCTGGTTTTGCCGTCTGCTGCCCTCGATTTTCTGTATTGTTCGTACGATTTGGCACGCTCTTCCTCGGAGTGGTTGCTTGACCAACATCCATCCTTTTTGCAGATAAAACACTGCTTCTTCCGTTGCCCTGCTCGCGAGTTGAATCTCTGCCCATTCGACGAATCTGGGCCTCCCTGCTGGCGATTGCCGTACCTGGCTTCTTTTCCTTTCCCATTGTACGTTCGATCGACCCAATGCTGCTGGTGAGGGCCGTCGTACGCCTGGAGGTGGGTTTGGCGCGGCATTCTCGCCTCAATGTTGAAGCTGGACCTCAGCCTCGAGCAGAGCGTCTCGTAGTCTTCGGGTGCTTGGTGCAGGGTTATTTTTGCCTCTGGAACGCGCTGGACTGCGGTACAGAGATATCCGACTTTCCGCTCGTTGGTCCCCTCATTTGGCTGGGTTTTCGCTAGCTTGTCAATTCGATCGATGAGCTCTTCGAGGATTTCTACTCGCGATTTGCCCTCCATTGTCCTGGCCACAGATGCGAAAGAAATCGCTCGTAGCTCAGATAGGAGCTCTAGATTCCTATCGTGGGTCTCGAAGCGGCTTCGGATTGCGTCAATAATGCCGAGAAAGTCGTTCCGATCGAGATTACGCACCGCTTCGTAGTAGTAATCAGAGGCCTTGCCTGCGAGTACGACATTAATTACCGAATGGTATTGGTGTTCCCTGATCCCGACTTTTTCGCAATAGTCGTAGAACATCGTCAGGGTCTCTTGCAAGACCTCGTACTTCCCCCCAGAGTACAATTTCTCTCTAGGGAAGATCTTTTTGAGGTCTGTGAATTGCCTCGTATTTGCCGCCATATTTTCGGTATCTGTATGCGATCCCTGCGTTGCTGCGTATTGTTGGTGACTTCGGGTGGTCTGCCTCCTTTCCTGCTGGCCGATTGGCACCGAATTTCGCATTGGCAGCGGCGACGAGCTGTGGATCGAAATAGGCGGAGTTGTCGATTGTCGTACTTCTGGCACCATATTTTGCCTCTGTATATCCTTCTGCGACGACAGATTGCCGTTGGTAATTGTAGGAAGGAAATCCGGGTCGTTCACCCTTTTTCTGAATTCGTCAAAGCGATTATACGCCCTGTCGACTTGTGCCTGGCTCCATGGCACGAATTCCTCCTCTGCAATCGTCGCTGCTAGGATTTCGTGAGGTTCTCGCGATTGTAATTGCGCTGGCAGTACCCCTCGCCCGTGGAGGAATCCATTGACTGCTTTCGCAATTCCTGGGCTTGCGCTTGCGAACCATTCGTCTGGCCAATGGCTGAGGTCGTCTGCGATTTCGTAGAACAGGGGTTGCCCCTGCAGCCCCTTTCTCTCGTAGACCTCAGTCAAATAGATCAATGCCGCGTCAATTTGCTCGCCGTTGGGTTGATCCGCGATTCTGTACATCCACGTTCCCCAATAGTCCGGGTTGATATTCACCCACTTGTGAGGGATTGGGATTCCGTCTGGGATCGGGTTTCTTCCTCTTCTTCCTTGCCCTGACTCGCTGGGGGTCGTGCTCTGGCTTGTGCCCGTATTGGCGGTCGCTGGCGTGTTTGATCTTGACGGGGATATGTCTGGTCCGCGCGTTGGCTGTAGCAAACCCGTGCTTTCGCTGCCCGACGAATTCGTCGGGGTTTGGGCGATTCCCGCCTCCTCTCGCCTTCTCGCTGCTGCTCTCGTTTCTACCATCTCTGGTGACTGCTGCTGCCCCTCTGGATCGCTGGCCATCGTTCCTGCTGGGAACCCCCTTTCCGTCTAGTATAAAAAGATAGGTTTTGGCGGTCCCTTTTCCAGCGGCAGCGGCAGACGTTTGTGTCACCGTAGGAAGACGAAGTGATTGGTCTCGGGATCTTTGCCGGTTGCCGATTTTCGCTGTTTTCGTACACTTCCAGCCTCGTGAGCCTCGTGCTCCTCGTGATCTCTGAATTGCTCCCTTCCTCGACCTACTTCCTCTAGGGCGGTATTCCGTAGTAACAGTCGAAAGTAGACGCCGGGCGGCTCGGAGAGGAACCGTATGGGCAGTTGGGTGCGGTTGGCGAGGTTGAGCCCTTCTTCTCGTGAGATCGCGAAGTTGGCGAAGTTGTCGAAGATGCCCACCGCGATTTTCGCTCGTACTAGCTGGGGCCAAATGCCTTGGAGATCCTTTCTCTTACGGCCTCTCGGTGCCCTATTTTATAGTTTCCTGGGCGGTCTTTTTCGTGGGCCAATTGCGCTGATCTAGCAATTGTCGTTCGCCGGCAATTCCTTCTGTTGCTTGGTTGATTTCCCGAAATTGGTGATCTCGCGCTGGGAGCCAGCATAAAAAGGAAGCTCCTTAGCGGCCCTCTGGAGGATTCTTTTCTTTCCCCCTCAGATCCTCGTCTTCTTGGCCTTTTCTTGGGCTAATGGTGACTGTAGCGGGAGGTCGCAGGACCACTTTGGGGTGGCCGCCTTCTTCCTGGGTTGGTCTCCGAGATCCGCGATACTCTCAGCTCGATGCTGTTGGGACCTCTGAATCCCCTCCTCCCTCGTGAGACCGTCCCTTGTACTGTATTCCTGAGTAACACCCGGGGGGTAGTTGAGGGAGCTACGAGGAGGTCGTCTAGATCGCGGGCTTGCGGTCGTATCCGTGAGATCCTCGTGGTGGTGGACTTTTCCGTATACCGTAGATCTCTTGGCTTCACAACTCCCACAAGGTCACCTTCGCCGCCGAGCAAGAATGTCTGCGTTTGGAGATCCTTTTCCTCGATTGCGCGGTGCTCTTTTATACCGTACTGTCGAGCTCGTTCGTCGCGCTGATTGGTTGGGCGGGCAGTCGCCGCGTAGGTATTTCCTTCTGCCGATTTGACCGGTTGATTTCTGATCGCGGGCCGGCCGCGGGAAAGTTGTTTGGTGGAAAAGCTGCTTGAGGCGACGACGAAAGACTGGTCGCTCAAGCGGTTCCGTTAATTGACGTGGTTTGACGTGGTGGACGTCGACCTCTCGTGGGCAGTAAAGGGCTACGATTACTCGATTCCGTGCGGCATTCGAGAATCGCCTCTTTTTTCGTCTGCTTCCGTGAGGTTGATTAGCACGAATCTCCTATCCCGTGCGGTATTAGGAGGTCGTCTCTTCTGCGTAGCGAGATGCCTTGCCGATCTGCGATAGTGGAATTTAACCACTGATCAGTGTTGGTATCCCTATTACAGGGTAATTGGTTCGAACCGTGGGTTGACGAAGAGATCAATTGAACTATATTAACTTCTGCGTAGGTGTAAAAAGGAGGTTCTAACCGTAGGTTGGGCAGGCCGCGATAATCGTAAGTAGGGGCCGTAGTTGGCCCCTGCGCGGGCTGCGGTACGTCGAGGTCGAATTGGACTTCCAATCCGACATTGACGCTGTAATCGCTGGGTCGTCAGTCCAATGGCGTAAGGATAAGTGGTTGAAGTGTATGGAACCGCCGAAGAGCAGCTGCGGGATGACGTGGATCCATAAGACTCGGCAATGACATTGACGGAACTGATATGTAGTACTGAGTCTATCGCGGACTAAGGACGATACTCATCTTACTTGCCGAGCTTCCATCTTCGGCTTGACCTTGCCAGAAATTCAGCACTCCGTGATGTCGTTTCGGGCTCGATGTCCCAGCCGGGGCGCAGCAGAACGAAAGCCGACCGGTGAATGGATCAATTACGAA